ACCAGACACACCGACTCCAAGGTGAGAACACCTGACCGGTTCCGCTGTGAGCCCCGGGTGTCGCCTGGCAGGCCACATACAGGCTGCCCTCCAGACGGCACTCAGGGCTTAACGTTCTGTCACCGACTCCCTGATTATAGAAAGGTTATTATCTTTATGTAGCTTTTATACATCTGCAGCAACAGTTGATATTAAGGTCCTCCTCCTCTTCTTCCTCCCTCAGGTGCGTTACTCCTCCCTGCTGATGCTGATGGAGCTGGCGTCCAAACTGAAGGAGAACTACATGGTGCTGCTTCCAGAGACCATCCCCTTCCTGGCTGAACTGATGGAGGGTGAGTGGACACAGAACCAGAATCAGAACCAGAATCCAACTGATCAAAAGCGTCTGTTAGTGTTTCCAACAATCACCAACTCTGCTTTGGTGGAAATAAATCCTTACACTAACTGTAAATGATTTAAGGAAGCCTGACTGAGGCACCTGTAGAGGGAGTTACAGTAATCTATAATCTATGTAATCAGTAATGTATAATCTATGTAATCAGTAATCTATAATCTATGTAATCAGTAATCTATAATCTATGGACATGAGATTTTTGCTATATTTCATAGCTGCAGGAAACAGGACTGAAGTTTTGTAACATGAGAGGCTGTGATACAACACAGGCAGAGGGAGAGAGACACCATGTGACTGTATATAGAGAATAACCTCTGTGTGTGTGTGTGTGTGTGTGTGTGTGTGTGTGTGTGTGTGTGTGTGTGTGTGTGTCTGTGTGTGTGTCTCTGTGTGTGTGTCTCTGTGTGTGTGTGTGTGTGTGTGTGTCTGTGTGTGTGTGTGTCTCTGTCTCTGTGTGTGTGTGTGTGTGTGTGTGTGTATGTGTGTGTGTGTGTGTGTGTGTGTGTCTCTGTCTCTGTGTCTCTGTGTCTCTGTGTGTGTGTGTGTCTGTGTCTCTGTGTGTGTGTGTGTGTGTGTGTGTGTGTGTCTGTGTGTGTGTGTGTGTGTGTGTGTGTGTGTGTGTGTCTCTGTCTCTGTGTGTCTGTGTCTCTGTGTGTCTGTGTCTCTGTGTGTGTGTCTGTGTCTCTGTGTCTGTGTCTCTGTGTGTGTGTGTGTGTCTCTGTCTCTGTGTGTGTGTCTGTGTGTGTGTGTCTCTGTGTGTGTGTCTCTCTGTGTGTGTGTGTGTGTGTGTCTCTGTCTCTGTGTCTCTGTGTGTGCGTGTATGTGTGTGTATGTGTGTGTCTGTCTCTGTGTGTGTGTCTCTGTGTGTGTGTGTGTGTGTGTCTCTGTGTGTGTGTGTGTGTGTCTCTGTGTGTGTGTGTGTCTCTGTGTGTGTGTGTCTCTGTCTCTTTCTCTGTGTGTGTTGCAGATGAGTGTGAGGAGGTGGAGCAGCAGGTCCAGAAGGTGGTTCAGGAGATGGAGAACATCCTGGGAGAACCGCTACAGAGCTACTTCTGAGACACACACGAGTTTCAGTCCTTCGTCAGCCTGAACTGATTTTATACTTTCTTCTCTCTCGTGTAAAACAAATAAATAAATATTGTTGTTTGAGTCGCTGCTTTTGTTTCTTTGTAAAGGAAGTGAAAGCTAACAGGTTCTGATGCTAACAGACTGAGGCTAAAGCTAACGTAACTGAAGATCAATAAAGACATTTTAATGTGCGGATGTTAAATATTCTACAGCTGCGTTTACAGTTTCTCCAACATTCATTCTCCTGTAAGCAGCCGGTCCACGGTTCCGAAGCTGTAAGCAGCCGGTCCACGGTTCCGAACATTAAACAGCCGGTCCACGGTTCCGAACATTAAGCAGCCGGTCCTCGGTACCGAACATTAAACAGCCAGTCCACGGTACCCGAACATTAAACAGCCGGTCCACGGTACCGAACATTAAACAGCCGGTCCACGGTACCCGAACATTAAACAGCCGGTCCACGGTACCCGAACATTAAACAGCAGCAAACATGTTTAAGGGCATCGTTTAGTTTTATTTCATAAATTGAACTGAAATAAAAACCTCATTGTATAAAAGTTTGTTCAGCTTCAGACCTTCATCAGCTGGTTGGGTCTGATCAATAGTTGTGATCAGGAAACATCACTGACCTTCATGGAAGATTCAGTAGAAGAAAGTCCAACGTGTTTATATTCAAACATCACCAACATGTAGATAAACTACACAACTGCAGATTATAGATTATAGGTAAAGATTATAGATTATAGGTACAGATTATAGATTATAGGCAAAGATTATAGATTATAGGTAAAGACTATAGATTATAGGTAAAGACTAGATTATAGGTAAAGATTATAGATTATAGGTAAAGACTATAGATTATAGGTAAAGACCAGATTATAGGTAAAGATTATAGATTATAGGTAAAGACTAGATTATAGGTAAAGACTATAGATTATAGGTAAAGACTAGATTATAGGTAAAGATTATAGATTATAGGTAAAGACTAGATTATAGGTAAAGACTAGATTATAGGTAAAGACCAGATTATAGGTAAAG